CCATCCATCCATCCATCTATCATCCATCCGACTAACAGTCGTCTGCTGTCGTAATTGACTGATTTTTTGAAAACCATTGTACTCATCTTAAGGAACTGAATTTTTCTGCGTCGTTCTACCTTCCTCCTGTTATCTTGGTAACTGCAGCTCACGAATACGATTCAAACAATCCTTACTCCATCAAAGCAGAGAACAATGCGATAAACAGCTGGGTCGAGGTAAGTAACGGCCAAGCATTCATTATTAGGCATTTTGGTATAAGGTAAATTAATTATAAACAATATTTTCTTTACATTCATGACACTATAGAAAACCGTTTCTTTCGGAGGTCGATGGTTGTTTTTAACAGGCTGTTTAATAATCGATAAAAACACGAGTCTACCAAAAGTCATGCCACCAGGCAACGTCATGATGTGATCACGAGACACGTGTACCTGAATTGGAACAACTTAACCTGCGGCTCTTGGGAAGGAAGGGGGGAGGGGGGTTGGGGCGAGAAGCCGGCTAGGAAAAACCGTGATGAAAAAACATTTAATTGAAATTTTCCCAAAATGAAAAAAATATTATCAACATACTTATTCCATGTTTTTTATATGAATTATACCGATAGGAAATTACGAACAAAACGTTTCGTGTTTGCGTGAAAGATTTACCAGGTTTGAGTTCTGCACACGACCCAATAGACGTGAACTACGCAGTGATCGGAGGTACGAATTATTTGACAATGTAATATATAGTCATGGCGGCCACGTTGGTTTATATAACAAAACAAGAGCAACGACGGACACTAATATCCAACCAGCTTAGCGAATATGAACTAAGATTGAGACAGGGTCCATATCTTTTTTTAATTATGCAAGCATTTATTTCCATTAGATCTAGACCCCTGCATTGGCAAGTCATGTGACTACTTTGCGGTATGCAAAGCCTTTGGCCCAACGGATGCACGTTGTGTATGTGTCGACACTTGTCCCTCTTACAATGAACCTGTCTGCTCCTCAAACGGAACCACCTACGAAAATGAATGCGTATTCCAGCGAGAGATGTGTAATCGTAGAGAAAATTTTACAAACTATCACCCTGGAAGCTGCAATGGTAAGAAAAAGTGATAGTAATTAAATGATGTTCATTGATTGATAAAGCATTTTAGCCGAGCGCTTTTCGTGTTTCTGCGACGACTCCAGACTTGACAAACTTTTTCCACTAGCTCTTGTTTTTCTCCGGTCCATGACCATACATGTGGACTGTACAGAGGCTGTCAGAGGCGCCTTCACATGCTACCAGTTCGACCTCGTCGAGCTGCGCCACTGCTGTGCTTGAGGCGGTGTTTAGCGATAACAGGTTTTTTAAATGACACCATCATGCAAACAGCCTATTACTGTATTATCTTTCTATTTCAAGTTTTCATATATTCTTTTAAAGGTTTCCCATCCCAAAAAGGCCGTCACCACCTTAAGAAGCCGCATTCCTGGTCAGAGGTCGTTTGCGAGCCAATTCAATTCGAGCCTTACGTGTTTTACCCAGAAAGACCCATTCAAGTGTTGATCTCAGTAAACCATATCGACAGCTCCAATCCCATTTTAGTCCATGATGCAACGGTGTCGTGGGTAGAAGAGGTTACGAACTCCAGCTTTGCAGTCTGCGTGACCTTAAGTGGTAGAAACAAGATTAACTCCAGAGACTTTGCTACAGTTGACTGGCTGGCCTACCAAGGTGCTCCTGCTGGTGGAGTGGCTGGAGAAATAGATTTCAACCGTTGGTGGACTGGAACAGCTTGTAAAACTGTCAATTTACCTTTGGTAATGAATGATTACTGTGCAAATCAAGCTAAGCAGCTTAGTCTTATTGAAGAAATAGAAAATGCAGCCCCCTAATCAGCAAGCGATAGTTATAACAGTTATTTTAAAATTTGGTATACATACATCTATTTCAAAAACGACGATGTCGGTCGGAGCTAAAATCTGAATTCTGAGAACGAGTTGGCGCTGAAAATTGTAATATACAGTCCTTTGACTAAATGTTGTCGTTGATTGGATCCTCCCTACGCGCCTAGACCTAAAAGGATAACGGGTAAATTACCCAGAACTTGCGTCATCCAAACTGCTCGCCAGCGTTAAATCTTCGCTGTATGCTCGAGGCATGGTTTTAGCAAATTAAATGGGATCGAAAAAAGCGAGCTCAAGACGTGTTAGATAACATATGCGGCAGTTAGTAACTGTAAATTAATTATCCCCATGATCCTTTTCGGTTTAGGCGCGTAGGGATGAAGCCAATCAAACGACAACGTTTAGTCAAAGGACTGTATGCAAGACCAATCGACGTCACATTTCCTTTCAGATGCCATGCAATCATCCTTTCGAGGTGGGAAGGGAAATAAGACAATGGTGCGAATGATCCAATTCCCCAACTAGCAAATTTCAAACCACTATGGTCATTGGTATGTCTTGTTGCATATTTTAGGGGAAATTCAACACTGCTCCGATCATTCTTGTAACTGCTGAGCACGAGAGAAGGCAAGTCAGGCAAGACGCAGCTAACATCTGGGTCGAAGATGTAACGAGATCCTCGTTCAAAGTTTGCCTAAGAGAACTACAGAGTTTTGATGGAGCACATGAGAGTATACATGCGGTAAGTCGTGCAAAAGATTTGATAGTACATAGAATTGTTTTTCTTCGCGTACAAGAGCTAACACCAGCATATTATATATATATATATATATATGGAGATTCCGTTTCTACCTGTTGACCATTTTTTATTGTCATTATCATTATTGGTTCTGGGAACCACCAACCGTCGGGGAAAGACAGCACTGCATGAACCAATGTGGATCGCCCGCAAGGCAGGTTATTATAAGTAATACCATGGCACGAGGGAAATTAGTGATTAAATTTCCCAGAATAACGAGGGAAATTTGTGGAATAAAACAAAAAAAGAATCTAAAAACAAGTTGTCACTTGCGCAGATTTGAGAACGCGTCCTACATGGAAACCGTGCAGCAATATCATAAGTAGGATACGTTGTAATCGATTCAGTTGCAGGGGAATTGAGTTGTCCCTGGCTAATAGGCTTCTATTGTCGCTTTGCTTATAAACTCCGTCACGTCAAAGTTTGCCATTTTGCATCAGTTGGTGTTATCGTGAGTTATTGATTGGTTGCTGGTCGTTTTTCCTTTGCAATTGCAGAACTGGATGGCGTTCAACAGCATACAAAGACCTCTCTTTGGAGAACACGGTTCCATTAATTTTCCAAACACTGGAATGTTATTACGGAAGTTTAATTATGCCTTCTGTAAGGTAAAACTAAGAATATTGTAACTCGTTGCTAAAATAATCATTTTCTAAGAAATTTGTAACTTGGAAGCCATTCACATTTAAGATAGCTATGAACTCAAAATTTGCAGTATTGATTCTACATTTAGTTAGTAGTTAATTGATGGCAAAATATTCTGAGATGATTTTAGTGATGCATATTTTGGAAATATCAAGGTTTATGCTTCCAATATATGCTAATGATGTGATGTCATAGGACGCTTTGTTAAATGTGCAAAACGCTTCTGGGGCACGCAGTGAAACATCCGGCTGTATGAAACATCATCGTCTTACTCAGGGTTTATAGAAAGGTTATTGCAGATTTGTTTTCTCATAGGAATTCAATGTTTCAATTTAAAATGATGACAAATAAACTCAAATGCCTCCTAATGGCATCAAACTCCAAGATGTACCATTTGAATCATATAAAAATATTTTGCCATTCAACTATTCACTTCGTGTAGAATGATATGTTTATAGACCCTTTTCATTGACGTCAAAGCAGCTCGATCTGGAGGGAAAAAAACAAAGAATTCCAATTACCTGACCATTGGTATCTTTAACAAATTTACGTTGGTTTAGCGTGGTATGTCCTCTTATTTACCACGATATGACGTCAAAAGTTGGTCAAAATGTTATGGACTCACGAGGCGTAAGCCGAGTGGGTCCATAACTAATTTTGACCAACGTTTGACGTCATATCGTGGTAAATAAGAGGACATACCACGCTAAACCATCGTAAATTTGTTTTTTACTACAAAACTCACAAAACTCTAGGAAATAGACTGCACGAAATCTTGCATGACGCCATTTGTTGGTATGGCCTCTTATTTACGACGTTTTTTAACCAATCAGCGCGCGAGAAAATTTACAATTGTGGTAAAAATTGCGTTTTGTCCCCCAGATTGAGCTTCATTCCAAATTGCTGCAAGCGTGATATAGTCAATAACTTTTTTTAAGGGCTTGTGCCATTCATTATTTGTTCTTAACTCTAGCAAAGTAAATACATTTTTTTCAAAACAGTCCTTTTTTTGCAAACTATCTTCTTCTAATGGGTTTTATAAATTTGACTAATATTCATTCCATTCCTTTAGGATATTCAATTTGAGCTTCCATATAACAAGACACCTATAGTCCTAGTGACGGCAAATCATTCTACCGCAGGAGGAAATCTTAATCCTGTGCACAATTCTATGACACAATGGGTTGAAGTAAGTCGATGAATTGTTGCCCCAGATTGTTCTAAATCGCATTAAAAGAAATTCTAATTTATTTATCTTTTTTTGTTGTTGTTGTAGCAAATCAACAAGACTGGATTTCGTGCCTGCGTAAAGGAGTTATATGTCAACAAACATGACCCACTTTCTGTTTCCTATGCTGTCTTGCCTGGCAAGTATTATATACCAGACTTGATGCAATTATTTTTTCTTCAGGATTTCCAATTGCTGAAAGCCTTAAATTAAGAGATTTGCAATCGGGTTTATTGAAAAGAAAGTCATTTTCTTAAAGAACCGGCCTGTGCAAGCCATTTTGGTCATTTTCAGTGGCGTAGCGCAAATTGTTTTTACCAAATCTGTGAATAAAATAGCGGGAATCTCTAAAGATCGAACGCGTACGCGTATGCGTGCATGTGTATTGGCGGGAAAATAGTGCCTTCTATATCAGCGAGACCTCGATTTGTCCCTGGCTATTTTATTTTGAAGTCACTGGATAAAATACGACCCATTTAGTATTTCATCGTTCATTTTAAAAATGACGCCCCTATTAGCAGTTCGCGCCTTTCATATCAACGTTTCAAGTTGCGGTAGCAATTTAACAGAAGTAGTATTTTTATGATTTAATTTCATCATGAAACGAGTATTTTGGGCTTTAGTGAAGCAAGTCATTGACGGACATGAGCTGAGGAAAGGTAATTTGTTTTCTTAATGGGCTTAATTCAAACAGATGTATGCGAGGATGGCTGGAGCTACTTCAATGGTTCCTGTTTCTATACCAGTTCACAATGTGACTCTTGGACAAATGCAGAGCGGCGCTGTCGAGCCATGGGCACATCTATAGCTTCAATTGACACCCAAGAAGAAAATGTCTTTGTTCAGCAACGACACAACGGTGCAAAAGCCTGGATTGGATTGAATGACATCGCCAGTGAGGGGACCTTCGCATGGATCGATGGTTCTCTCAGTAAATTCACTTACTGGCAAAAAAGTCAACCGAACAATCTGGCTCCGGGTCAGGACTGCGTTCACACCCTTGGTGTGAACTTCAACTACAGATGGAACGACGTTGATTGTAACGCTTGTCACCAATACACCTGCGAGAAAGGTATACATGCATGTACTGAACAAATTGTCATCCAACAAATGGTTGGCGTCTTCAGTGACTGATCGGCATTACTCAATAGACCTCCACTGTTTCCCCATTTCAGACCTCGTGTCATTCCCTATAGTATTATTTCTTTRTTTAACGGTTGCACATGAGAAGACGCTTGAATATGGATACAACTCAAACAAAGAATTTTAGATACGTGTTCTGAAATGGGCAAGTCCAAGTGGATTTAGTCGATTAACAGTACTCAGTTCATATTTCAAAATTAATTAAGAAGGATGCTATTCTTTTTTTATAAAGTAAAAGACTAGCTTTGGTCTTCCCCTGATTCGAATTAGGACCGGTTTTTTCTCCAGGTTCTCCGGGGTTTTTCCGCCTGAAGGCCACTCTACACGCTAAATTAACTTAGCCGGATATGCCTAGAGAATAGAGACCTTTAGCACCAGGTTTACCACTAACCGCTAGCTAGGGATCAGGCCCAGAAACGCCCGCAAACACAGAGAAACACTTTGCATCAATGAAACTTCAATATGGCGGCTCTTCCAGCAACAACTTTTGTTATGATGCTATGCTAAATGTCAAAAGTTTGACGGAAAACGCCCGACGTCGAACTGCAGTTTGAGGTTTGCGGCACCTAGCAAGAACGTCGTGCAAAAGAAAAAAGTTACGTCATTAATCTCCAATTATTTTGGTTGCCTTATTTTAGAATATGATGACTGTTGGAGTCAGCCTTGTATGAATGGAGGCATTTGTGTTGATGAACACGTCGGTTATTCTTGTGTTTGTCCTGCAACACATCTGGGCAAACATTGTGAAGGTAAAGAGCTTTGTTCATTTTAAAATTTTCAGAATAATTAATAAATTTCCCTAGAGATGTGACCGGTATCATTGTTTTCTCAGAAATTAAATTCGAGCTATATATACTAGATCTAATTTTGAACCGTAAGATTGCGTCAATATGACACAGAGTAAACGTTGCTCGTTGTGCCCTAAAATTAAGAACGAAAAACAGACCAAAGGGGGGGGGGGGGGG